AGCCTACACTAGTAGATAATGGCATCGATACTGCGCTGTTGTAATTCTTTGACAACACATTAGCAGAATAGCTTTTATAAGCTAATCTATTATGCGAGTCCGACAAACACATGATCGGTCGGATGAACCTTATGCAACATCCAAGACCAAATAATCCCCTCGAGTCTTTAGAATCACCAGTAAACACAGCAAGGGTGTAATTATCACGCGGTTAAACAACGGGTAAAAACAGCATTATGAGAAGTATTAAGTAGCGGTGATCGGTCAGCTTAATGCCAAACTGAGGGATTACAAGATGTGTACACTGCGGAACATTAGCCAACCATATCGAAAAACCTGGAGGAATGTAATTTGACTATGTGATGCCGCAACTAATAGGAACACAAAAATGTGAACTGATGAGGCCATCACATGATGTTTAATAAATTATTCGAAATTATGACCGGCCACGGTGTACTTCGGCGTTAAAACGTTTCAACCACAAACCCAAACGCGCCTGCTCGGTCATATAACTAATACTTATTGTTGGTGAAGTTCAAAAACGGAAGAAAAAGAGATGTAATGCTCATTGGTATTTCCTGTGAAAACGCTCCTTTGCGATTAACGACAATCGTTGTCTCTGACTCATCTAGTTTTAGGACATTATTGATTAGAACTGTGCAATGGATGATGCTGGCATTGTCAAATTCATTCCCCCCCCCACAACGTGTTAACTTGTGTCACTCCATTTCTTACTCTTGAGCGTAACACCATCGAGAGATTCACGCCGACTTACGAATCCGTCTTCACAATCCAAATGCGGAACCAGGTGTTGTGTTGGTCACTGTGGGTGTCTATCCCCTTTTCTCACCACAGATGATTGACACATCAGTGTCTACTTCTTATGCGACTGTTCCACACTTGGGTACCATACTGTTGTCTCAGCACATCAATAGCTTGGCTCGAAACAGGTTCAGAGTCCCGTGTTTGAAGTTGCGTATGTCGAACTCATTTGGTTTTGCAAAAAGGCCACTTGGGTCTCAGTTTCACCTTGAACAAATGTTTTATTCATAAGATTGTAACGGAGCATCATTGTGTGAGGTAACTATACTGTTGTCTTGTCACAAATACTGTATCGAACGGTAGGTTGTCCGTTTATGGCTAATTGTATTTACTTATCAAGTCGGAAACTTATTCAATATTTGTACAAATGCACATTACATGGAAACCTGGGGTTTTAGTTGGAACGACGATAAAAGAGAGAAGAAGCACACAAAATACGAATTTACCGAAATAAATCGTAAAACGATTGAATGCTTTACAATCCTATTTAATTTGATGTGATGTTTTGTCATATACTTTATGTCAGCAAAGTATGTCGCATAGGCATTCCTACTGATGTTTATCACTCCTCAAGGTGTCAAACTTTCTTCAACTTATCATAAGGTTTTCAAATATATATCACTGATTAGAGATTGATTATTAAACGTATCTGATTTAGCCATCACCGTAAAATCAATCAAAGGGTACTTCTGAGGTACATATGCTCTTTTTCTAATCGAGTAGAGAGACAGAAAAAGCTTCAAATGAGAAGTGTACCCTGGAAAGTTAGGATACTACTTGTTGTTATGAGTCATAAGGTACGTTTCTTTGCTCGTCTTCTTTAATAAGACGATTTCAAGGCTGTGAGGTCTTGGGTATTATTGATAAGCAGAAAACACTTGGATTGTCGCAGATGGTCATAGTAAACACATTTGACGAACAGAACGCACCATTGTGGTCAATCACAAATGTTAACTAATCAACTATGAATTTTCTGTCTATTATGGCAAATATTTCAACTATACCGATTTACTTGCTCGTGTAGCTGATCATTTACTGGTGAAAAATCTCATCATTGCTGCGAAATTTGTGTGCGTTGGCCAACAAAAGGGATATGATCAGTTTAACCAACAGTAGATTCTGCGAATTTGCACGGACTAAATTAACAGCACCCAGAAATTGCTGATTATTGGATTTTGTCATGCAAGCAATATTTGTATTCCACCTTGAAAATTGTATCACCACAACTGCAAGTTAAATGAGGATGTTACAATGTTTGTGCATACATTTTTTCCATATTCGAAACATTGGTTGAATCCATTGGTGCCATACAATGAAAGGTTTGCATCTTCTTTATAAAGCAGCAAACGATCTCTATGACATGATTACGACAATGAGCGACAGGTTATAGTATGCACAATAGTGTACCTCATCCCTACAGCTTCATTTACAGCAGACGTGTACTGTACAATTGCTTGACAATTGGATAACTTTTGAATCATTCTTCACGGTAAATCTGTCGTTCACTTGATCGATTTCGTTCGAGTTTGTAGTTTAGTTACTCATTTAAATCTAACTTACAATCTACCGGGATTGATATTGCCTTCTGACAGTAAGTTATTCGCAAGTTATTCCAGGCTCACACCATCCTTTAAGATTAGAACCTTCGTTGAAATGCACCGATTGGAGTTTTGGTTTTAGAGTTCATCCCGAATAAAAGCTAATCCATGGTATACTAATGTTATACAACAAGTCACTCTGTAACATTATGCCTGAGTATGACGTGACTTGTTTTACGGGCAGATATACATTTTTAATTATTGCAATAACCAAATTGTCCATTGAAAAGACAAATTAAGCGAGGAATTACGTTTAATCATTCATTTTTATGCGTCCACACATTAAAAAACGATAACAACAAAACTAGATATTCATAAAATGAATGGAAGTGGTAGTAGGAAGGTGAAGATACAGTTGTAATCGCTTGCTTAAAGTGATTAAATAACACAACCGTTCGATCGTCGTCCGGTTTTTCGAACAACAGTAGGTTACGTTAGATCCTCGGGCCATGGCAACCTCAATGGGTGCATAATCCGCATTCGTTTGCGCAGTTCGAGATGTTGAATTAGATTAGTTATCGCCTCGGTCGTGCAAAGCACAATTGGACTCAGCTGTTTAGGTAGATTCATAAATGACCTTTCGAAATCTACCATATGCCTGGAGTTGATCAAATGCTCCATAATTGGGCCAGGCCGGATGATACTCCAGTCCGCTTGGTCAGCTGCTGACTGCTACGACCGATGCAGCCGGCTCCACAGGAACATGTGTATTGAGAAACAAAGGTGGACATGGACGTTGGTGTCAGTCGATCCGTAATTCTCTGAGCAATGACCGGAGAGAATCATTAGATTATTTTCAGGACAACGGCGTAAAATGTGCATTTTTAATGCTTTTGAATTTCCTTTCGAAGAGTTGACTGGCATCATCGATGGCAAAAGTTAGATAGATAGACAATCTTTTCTGATACATTTGATAAAATGTGTCGGATAAAGGTAAGTAGTCGTTGGTTGGGCCAGGCAAAAACGATTCAAACTCCTGGAGATGTTCTCACTGGACTTCTCAGTTCTTTCGTTTAATTGCATCCAGTAAGTATTCATACAAACAGCTGTTTGTCGTATTCCTTTTTATTTACCCCCCCCCTCCTTCTGTATGAACCAGCTAGGATTGATGCTCGTAAAGAAATAATTGCTGACTTAGAACCTCGATTACTTTACGAGCGACATCAGAAAACGGCTTAACAAACAGTCTAAAATGGGTAACACACCACGACACCACATCGTCACGAAAAATATGGACGTTTTTCATTTGCTACGTCGGTAGTCAGTTGAATATAATTGATCATCAATTCTCTACCTACTGATTTTAAAATTTGCCCTTCAGTTTGTATTGATTCCTCTAATGTGTCACAAATTCTATAATTTTACTCATGCCTATTTTAACTCAACATAGATCGTTTTTTTATATTATTCTGTTTCATTTGCAATGTGGCCCTACATGGACACTTAAATGAAATTGCAAAATGCTTTCTCATGTAATTTTTTTCTGCTTGGTCTGTAATTTACTTTGTTCCAGCATTACTCTCTGTTCGTTTACCACTACCAAGATCATACGATTGGTTAACATCCTCTCAAAAATCACCGCACGATATGTCACTTCATCGAGACTAAGTTTGGTTTCGTAGAGCACACCATGGACTTACAGACCATTGAAAGTTTCCCTAATCCTGCACTCAGATTTAAGCTTAAGTCCGTTAGATGACGTTTGCAATTAAGATTATATTCACCCTGATTACATCTTGATTCGAGCGATTCATCCCATTTGTTGTTTTATGGGCTCTTTTAATCCTTGAGCTTTTAACTTGATCACATGGTTAATTGGTTGGGTTGCTGATTGCTTGGTTGGCTCCCTGGCTGACATCGACCGGATATCCAGAATTATCACTGGAGTTGAAATATCCTTGTGTGTGTGCAAACGGATCAAGAAAAACAGTTCTTTTTGAACCAGTCATAATCATGATGAAACAGGAGCATAAATGTTTAGTGGCGACAACATCTTATAAGATCGTCGGATACCCATAACCACCAGTTTCTTGCTGCCACAGGATTTCAATCGTCCGTTACCGTGATATAACATTTTTGCCATCCTTAACCCAAAACAAGCCGTATATACCTTACGGATTTTTCCTGGATATCAGGAATTTAGTTTTAATCTTTGGTTTGATATTTGACTCAAAATAATACCAAGCAAGAAATTGATAAAATTGATTTACCGGTTTCTGAATGATAATCTTTGAAGCGACGCTAGAAATACATACAAAGGAGCTTTATTCGGCGACCTAAAACTATGAATTCGATGGACCCTCAACGGATCGTGGGAGGGGGTGATTCAAACGTTTTACGAGATGCAAGTATGCTGACATATCCAGTCACTCGATGGTTCAAAACTCCTCAGTCCAGTGGGAAAACGATAGTTTAGAATGTAGTATATATTGCGTACCCCGTTTCTCTGATGCCGGTGCGGTACGAAAATGCTCCAAAATAGTTACACATGATAGGAGTGCAATCTATACAAGTGACTGATATCAGAGGTCAATCAAAAATAGGCTGACCGGTTGCACTTACATTGTTACATCAAACAAACTACGAACATTTTTGGTGTACCACGGATGGGCCAATCTCCTCAAATTCCTTTTTTGATATTAACAATTTGTGAAAGGTGTTCAGTGAGCCCAGAATTGACCCACCAATCCAAACTGCGTATTTCCGATGTGGCGAGGCGTGAACATTCACAACCACCTTCTCTCCAGTCAAATTTTTTACTTCCTGTCTAACACGTTCCGGTAGTCCTTTGCTCATTGTTGTTCCACCACTAAGCACAATAGTTCCATTCAAGTAGGAGTGAAGTTCTTCCGGACATTCCCGAATTGCTGCCACAATTGAGTGTTGAATTCCGTTGCCTTCGAGACCAGCCTGCTTTGGACTGAACAATATCTCCGGTGCTATAAGCCGCTCTCGCCCAATGTTTACTAGCTGCCCATCCGGAGTTTGGTAGCTCACCGGCTGGGAATCCGCATAGCTCAGTGCTTCAGACGACAGCGTTGGTGCCACATAACACAATCGCTCTTTGAAATAACGTGTCACATCTGCAGTTATAAAACGTGAAACTTTCGGATTGCCTGAGACTAGTAATCTTTGCAAAAAATTGGTCACATCCACCCCACCAATCGTGCGGCGTTTCACAGCATCTGTAATCAGAAATGTTTCAACCACCGGGACAACATTTGTGGTTTCAGTTCCAATATCCACAGACAAACCAGTGCTCAAACCGACAGCGTACAGTGAGAGAACAGACTGATTGGAGAAGTAAATTGCTGGAACGGAAAACTTCTCAAATGCCATTTCGGCCATCCGCTCACGATGATATTGCGGTAGGACTGGGTATTCGGTAATGAGAACAGGATGATCTGCGGGATTTGTGCGTAATTCTTTTGCGTACATATACTGCCATATAATAGCCAGTTCTTCAAAGTTGGTCACCTGACCGTGAGAAATGGGACAACGGACTGGAAGCTCTCGACGTAAGGCTTTGGCGTGTTCACCGACAAACCATTCTGCTGTACCCCAAGACGAAAGGGAATGAGTGGTAAGCATGGGAACTAAAATTCGTGGAGCGCTTTCTCCGGCGAATCCGGCTTTTAGATAATCTGCACCGTTGTCTAATACAATTGGCATGTTTTCCAGTGCCATGGTTATCGTTGAATTGTGTAGATACTTTCAACAATTCGAACGTTATATCCACTTTTCACTCACTCCGCGTACGTGCACTAACGTGCACCAACGTGCGCTCAATTGTGAGGTGCTGCTGAACCGTTACTAAGTTGAGTGTAGATAAATAGGTCATGATGACATTGAGGCTACAGGTTACCATCTTCACGTAGTGCTCAAAATTGAAGCGTTTTGAGTGTGTGTAGCATTCATGTGACTGAATGAATCCGTGTCTCTGCATGCGCGCAATTTGGCGCATGTCTGCCTTTCAAATGGTCATCTGACCGACAGTGATTTCTTCTAGCATGCACTCGAGACAATAGACAGATCAACTGACAGATAATCCCGACAGCGTTGAGGCAATAAACATGTCAAATGATCACTTATTTAATAAAATAATTGATTGCTAATAAAAGATTCCGTAGTGAGTTGCATCTGTCACACTGAAAAAGTGATTACTGGAAGTTACACTAAGAGTAGACAGACCGCGTTGTTGTTACACGTCTTACCACCAAGAAAACTTGGTACTGATATTCATTACTGCGTGAGAAAAAACTGCTACAACTGCACAATTATAACGTTGCGTTGCGTGTTTTTGGCTAGAAAAACCGACACATCCGACGCGTACAAAGTTTTGCCTTATTAGGATATGATTATTTCATTTTCAATGGGATAATACCGTCTTGTTTTAGATATATTAGAAAAAATGAGTAGGCACGCATCACGAGGAAAGAAGTTATCACCAATGTATTGTCGTTTGTACTACCCAACTTGTCTTCACGAGCCTACGCATTTCCCCAAAGCGCATCACCATGAATTACACATGAACGTTTCATTGCAATTGCTTAAAAGTAATGACCAAACTCATGCTGTAGGTTTATTGCTTCCTAAGCAGCCTTGTTGAGTTTTGCGTGAGTGACCAACTGATGGATGGCTAATGGAGAAGAATCATGTTACCAAGTAAAGCGAGGATCATTACCCAATGTCTACTCTTCTTACAAAATGTTCTATATCACATTACGACATGGATCTGTGTATGTAGTTCACAAGCGCCTCGGAGTTTGACAGAATTTGGAGATCGACCGCAATCCAAGACCTTCATTTAACCATAAATAAAGGGCATGAAGATGTGTGCCCATTGATGAGGTGATTAGACTCAATCAGAAGCCTGGTAAGAGTTGTGGTTTATTTCACAGGAGCCGGTTGATCGATGAGCGCAAAACAATGCCGCAGCAGAAGGGAGATTTCTATTGTCTATCCCGCTATGTTAGGCTTCAACGATAAAACTTGATATCTTGAGTTTTTCTTAAGTAAACGTATAAGGATACAGTAGCCTAATGCATTATAGTCAGCTGTGAATAGGAAGCGTGCTTATCTCCACAAATAAATCAAGTAAGACAGTGTGGTAGCAGTGTTCAATAGTAGAATTAACACTTCGAGACTCACACATTTTGCGATCAGTTTTTTCCTATCATTCAAAGACTTGTAAACATTGTTCTGTCTAGCTCAACTGGAACCCTTTTTCAAGGACCGCGAACTTCTTGACGAAAAGTAAAGTTCTTCTAATTTATTTTTGTTTATTGAATATATAAATGTACTGATAACATTCAGGAAGTGGGCCGCTGCCATACAAAGGTTGCCTGGGAAATTCGGAAATTGGGAAGATGGGCAACGGTGGAGCTTTTCAAACCCAGGACTTCTGGGTAACTAGTTCAATAGTCTCAACCACTTGGCCACCACTGCCCACTTTAGGTTTTCAACGGTAATCTCATAGGAAGATCCAAATGAATTCAATGTGAAGTGGAAAAGCTTCGTTAAAACGGCCATCATTTGCAATTACTTCCACACTGTTCTTTGGGTAAATGAAAACAACACACGAGAAAGTAAATGGATTTTCACCGATTACCGTTCAAGTCGACTTTTGTACGTTTCTTTTTATTCCTTGAAAATAACATGAGATTTCGGCTTGTGAAACGATTCTTCCACAAACCATCGACATCAGACACCGAAATAACTCAAAGAGAATGAAAAGCCAATGGCTTTTCAGCACGACCGTTTAGCTCACTGCACATCGCAGTTGAGAAAACCCGATGTTGTAAGAGGACTTATTCAAGCTGACAATAGAAATGCTGGTTTCAGTCGAGTGAGATTAGCCAATCTGTGTTGTCGTGTGTTTAACTAGATAATTGTTCGGTGATTTGAAACCAATATTAAAGGACTGCATATTATGAAGTTTATAATAGCGCATGATGAAGCCGTTCCATCGCGACAAATCCCGTTTGGTTGAACCTCAAAAGTCTGCTAGCGCTTTGATATCCATGTATCTATGACGAACTTCCGTGTCCGACCGGAAGGAGTAATGAATAAAACAAAATGAGGGTTGAACAAGGTCGTGCTCGATGATTCGCACTCATCTTCATGCATACATATTCAGTTCCACAATCATACAGATGTTTCTTCCATGTGAGACATAAAGGTGGCCTGAAACATACTCTATTTCACAGGGTTCTACCACTACGTATACTGCCAGATAAACCAGACCCATGCTTTTTTACGCAGTCTCTATTCGCTTACATTCAGTCACAAGTACAGTAATCCGGTCAATCGTAGGCTCCTTTCCTTATCATCTAAGAAAAAAGACGTCTACATTGAATTGGCATGACAAACAAGACACCTCGTCTAATAACACATACCGTAACAAGAATGCACAATGCCACCATACTAATGATTGTGTACATTTCGTTGTATCAACCATATCAGTCTGGATCTAGAAGACGTAAGTTTTACCCCACACTGTACCTATTCATTTTGATGTAAATGCGGTCTGAGACTGAAAAACAGAGCGTCGTTCATCAACTAGAATGTGTAAACATATTCCGAAAGAAACCCAATCTTCGCGGACAGAAACCACCATCCAGTGCAGTTGCACGGCATTCGTTAAATTCCGGTCACCAGACAACCACCTCCAACGCGTTTCGNGAAGTTCACGATCTTTGCGATTTTTGGAAGCCATAATTATTTGTCGCTGTAAACCGCAATTGTGTTTAAAAACAATTTTTGATACAACTGTTCTTGATCGGGTAGTAATGACATCGCACTTGATGCTACTCTAGCATAATTCGACAAGATATTTCACATTCCTCAGTTCACTCCTGTGTCACATTTTGTCATCTAACTTGCCCTTAACTCGAAACCGAAACTAAATCACACAACTCATTTGTTCAACACCTTGCTCAAATGACTGGTTTTAACTGCTGTTTTCTTCTGTTTGAAACTATCATATAACATGCGTTTACAGCAAAATTGATGGCCAATATCAATTCTGATCGCATGTCTTCTGGTATTGATGAAATGCACACCACTGGTTTGGAAAGGGTAAATTAACATCACAAAATTTTGGTCAATTTTCCGAAAAGTTTGTACTCACCACTACGAGATCCAAGATCCCACATGATCGATAATGCTTATCGCTGAATGGATTCGTGGTTGATTAGGAAGGTTGTATGCCAGCCCTCAGACACCCGACAGTCGGATTATTCTCAACGGTTGAATGAGTAGAGAATCAACTTGGCACAATACACTCGTCCATAGAATTCATATGACGGAATCTGATGTATTCTAAACAAACCCTACCTGGGTAGAAATCATATCTGCTAACTGGTGGAATGCATATACTTCTGTAATTTTGGCTATTAAGCATAATTTAAAAATATCATTGTCGGCGGTGTAGCCTTGCAGCTAAGCTGGTCCAGTGTGCAGGTTACAAAAGACGTATGCGACGTACAAGCCATAATTGAATTTCCATTTAAAATATTGGTACTCTCACCTCCTGACTCAGGATACATATTTAATGTGTCATAATCATCATCACCATCATCATCATCATCATCATCATTATTATCTTTATCATCATCATTACTAGCATTGTCAATGCCCTGGAGCGAAATATAACGAATCAAATCGGCCGATAGTTGTCCGCGTGAGAACGCATGCTTATTCGTTTTATTAGGACACCATGCTACCGTTTGTCAGTGGTTTTGTCAAAAGCTGGTTTTAGATAAGAACAATATATAATTAACAAAGAACTAAAGCAGTCAAGTGCCGATATCTATTTCCTGGATTGGTTGGGTGAAATGACCTTGTAGACAGAAAAAAGATTCCTTGTTTCCCGACCTAAGCGTTAGATTCACCTGCAGTATAATGAGAGTTGAGCTTCGGTTTAGTATTATGAGTTTGTGTTTTCCTGGACTGTCCATTGCATACACCGAATGATGAACAACATTGATTTGGTGTTGCTTCCGTTCCGAATACTGAATGAACTCCACAGTTTCATCGCACTTGGACAATCGTCAATGGAAATTCAATCGTTGAGACTTCCGCTTTTTTACCCACTTCACGCTGACCTAGTGACTGAGCTTTATCGTCCAGGATAGCATTACAGCACTGAAGTGACCCACACTAATCAGATTCTAAGTTTTGTCTCTGATACATAGCAGACAATCCTTTCTTTAGAGTTCATTGTATGTGCAAGACAGGCTTGTCAATTAACTGATATAAAATGTTTCAGGTAGAAAGTCTCCAGATTCGGAGACTGAGGAGGCTTGAGAAACCGCAATGCATTTCGGTGAAATACCCCTCATGACCCTCTTTACCAAATAAATATGATAAATGAGAGACACGTCTAATGCTGGCTTTGCTCTGAACCGAAATTTTAGGGGAAAAGAGTTAATGATAAACAAGTAACTACAGATGTGGTCTGACAATTTGTGATGGAATTGGATGGTTTTTTCCGCGATTCGTGCAATTCGTATTCTTTCTACCTGACACAAGATTGTTTGCTCACCAGGTTGCATTGTTTCTGATATTCCCTCACGTATGATTGTTACATAACGGCACGATAATGCCAATCATACTGAGCAAATCAGTAGGATAATAGTCATCCTACAGACTTGAGGTGACTAGCTGGATCTCGGGGAGTGAAA